TACAACTAGTCACAAACCTGTGTGTAAGTACAATTCTTCTTTTTGCATTTGCCACATGTGAATAAATCAGTCTGGGTTCCACCTGTCTTAGCCATTTGATGCTCTCTGATTGCTTCTTTGGTCAGGTTTTTCCGCATCTCTTTGAGCTCATCACTAGCCATTTCCTATTAGGAAGGTAGAAATACAAATCAGTTATACGTATTTTTTACACATCTTTAATGAAAACTATATTCAATTACTGTTTTGAACAGCTGAACGCCCTTTGAAGGCTTTAAACAAGGGAAACTCTATGGTATCCAGAATTTAATAGTAGACAGTGGAAAACCCATCAGCCCAGACCCCCAAAGCAGCCAGGGACCCTTAGAAGAGCAATTGGTTCCAGAATTAAGCCAGAGTCATGTTCTTGTGCCTGAAATCAGGAGGGCTACCAGAGACTACAGTAACTGTGTCAAATGGAGTCAGACATTAACATAAAGGTATTCCCATTGACCAAGGATAAGACAATTTCAGACTTGAAAATAATTATTTTAAAGAGCCAAGTCCTGATGGATAAATAAAAATCCATGAGTCTGAGCTGATAGCTATAAAAGAGACAGTGCACATACATGCAAAACCAGAAATGAGCAGCAACTAGGACACCAAGTAGCCACTGAAAATTAGTGTTCGACATCCCATAGTAGTCTCTACTCCTCTTCTAGGTTCCATAATTCAGCTCACAATTATGGGATTTATTATGGACACTAACAGGTCATAGTTCAGGTGAGAAATATTCAGGATACAGTTGTTCATTCAGGATATGTTATAGTGGAGAAATCGGACTGTCACTACACCCACTGATCAATCTCAGTAAACTAAGGACAGAGCACCAATACTCAATATGCCTCTTAATATAACATGAAATGAAAAGTATCACATATTTCCTACATAAGGGGAAACAAGGGTGAACTTGTGTGGTAATTATATAATTTTCAATTTGAGAGGATTATGAATGAAGGGGTGGAATCTAGTCTGTCAATCGGATCATAGTTAGTGATGTTCTGTGTGGGCATGGCCTTCTCCTGAGAATTCTGGGAAATCTGGTATTTCACCCTAGGAGGTAGGAGACACTGTCTCTGTCTGCTCACACCCTGGGAGACACAGCAGCTGACAAGACACATGGACCCACCCTGATGCAGAGAACCCTGTCAGCACTGAGATGTTTCCAATGACACTAGATCCAAAGACTTTCTACCCACTGGCCTGTGATCTACATTCGGCGTCATTGCATGTGTTTTGTGAGTGTGAAGAGGACTTTATAGATTGGTATCGGACATATTGGCTAATATCAGACTTATGGACCTGATCTGGACGAGGATGGGATGTTTTCTCAATGTTCAATTGCTCTTGTATATAAATCTCTTTCTTACACACGTGTATCAATGGATTTGTTTCTCTAGTCTACCCAGACTAACACAACTTGGCTCTAATTAAGTTTGTAAAATCAGAACCCGGTTTATTAAAAATAGAGGTGATTTTTTAAAAAACCAAAAGTTAAGTAAAATCATGAGAAAAACAAATTTAGACTGTTTAGAATACTCAGCAGAGGAAATGAGAACTGATTTTTTCAATAGTACCAACATCTGCCAATGTGAGTGCCAGTGATGACTGAGTAAAACATACTTTTATAAGTTAGAAGCTTTCCTATTCTTTGCTTTCATTTGAAAGAGGACCTAGTAGAATTGAAAACTGAGAAGGCATTGAAACTATTTTTTTGATGAGAGATCAACATGCTTTCTGTCTCAGAGTGAGTCCAAATAATCAAACGACAGTACTGTAACAAAATTCTTTCCCTTCCTATATACTTTTTAAAAAAGTAATCATTTTATTGGGGGCGCCTCTTACAAATCTTTTAACAATCCATCATTCCATAGTATAAAGCATACTTGTACATATGTTGCCATCAACATTTCCAAAACAATTTCTTTCTAATTGGAGAAAAAAAAAGCAAAACTAAACTATGATCCTTAAGACATTAAGTAAAAGCAATGAAATCTGTTATGAAGTAAATAATCTGGCAAATAAAAACTAGATTCTTAGAGAAACATTACTGTAAACATCACTGGATATAGTAATGTCATTCTATAAGAAAATGATAATACGTTCACCTTCACATACTCTCAAATCTGCAGCAGTACAAGGCACATGATCTGAGTTTTGCAGTAAAGGTCTGTAGGGGGCAGAAACGGTCCGCACCAGACTGTTAACCTAAACATTCGGCAGTTGGAAGCCACACAGCAGTACTGCAAAAGAACAGTTCTGACAATTCTCTTCCATTGAGATTGCAACTAAGACTTTTGTAAAAGTGGATTGTGGTAATGACTGTACAACTTTTCTTGATATGTCTGAATTATTGAATTATATGACAAGCAGATGAAGTGCCAATAAAACTTTTTTTAAAAAAAAGATGGCAACCAAGAAAAACCCGTAGACCAGTCCAACTATGTAACAAATCAATGACATCATTTACTTTAAAATAATTCAGAAAAAAATGA